CGGGGTGCCATCGCCGCCGTCTCCGTCTTCGCCGCTGCCTGGCCCGCAGGCCCGCGGCCATCCGGAGGACTGGCTGCAGGCTGCGGCGGCTGCGCGGACGAGGGCGCCGCGGGACGAGGCCCCGAGGGCCCTGCTCCAAGGGGTCGAGCTTGCGGCCATCAGCGTCCACGGGTTGGCGGCCCACCTGGGGTTGCAGCCCGACGGCGTGGGCGACAGGCGCGACGAGGCCGCGGGGATGTCAGCAGCACGGCGCAGCTCCTGCACCGAGAGGGCGCGCCTGCCGCGGCCTGGTCCGGCGGGCCCGGACTGGGCCTCCCCAGAAGACTTCACGGCTCGGCAGTGGGTTTACTGGGTCACCTTCGCGGCGACGCTCCCAGAGACCGACGAGGCCGCGACCGCCAGCGGGGGCGCCGTCCTGGAAACCTTGGACGAGGTCTCGCGAGAGGAACTCCGGGGCGCCATCCTGGACGCCGTGGGTAGCATAGACTTGCACAACACCGCATAGCACTGAGTAGCCTTGCATATCATTCGGGCTGAACCAGGCCCAAGCGAAACATAGGTGAATTTTGGTATGCTCTGGGTCACTTAGTTGATTGGCGCCATGTCGTGCTTGCGCGCGCTTTTCGTCGCGTTGCGGGGTGTACTCTGCGATGCCGCGGCGCCTGACCTGGCCCCGACTCAGATTGGCCATTTGGTTGCGAGAGCCATGTATGTTGGCGCGACTCTGGGGTGCGCGTGGTGGCCTCTCGGGGCCGCGTTGACGGCCATTCGGGCGTTCAGCTTGCCATCCTGGAAGCCATCGACCAACATTCCGCGCACGGAGTGAGCTTTCCATCCGAACCGCGCGAGTTAGCAGAATTAGGTTGCAGGGGGGGGCCTTTGGCCCAGTGGCTCAATAGCAATGGGCCCTTGGCTCGAAAGTCCAAGAGTCCTGGGTCCGTGGCTCCAGGGCCCTTGGCCCTACGGCCATGTATAGATCTCGGCCCCTGTTTATGTGGCCCACGAGTCGCGGGCTCTTCCTGGTGGGGCCCAGGAAGTCTCGCTGCCTTCGCTGTAGGGCCCCGGAGTCGGCCCGCGACCCTGGGGACCATGTCTAGCAAGGTCGCGACAATGTGCCCCAGGAAGTCGCGTGCCCGTGGGTGAAGGTCCACAGAGTCGGGGGCCCTTGACCAAGGAGCCCAGGAAGTTGTGGGCCCTTGACTCGTGGGCCCTGAACTCGCGGGCCGCGGGGCTCCTGGCCCAGGAGCCACCCGCATGCGCCAGACACCCCCCCTCCCCAAGGGGGCCAACGAAACGTCGCCGAATCGGCAGCGAATCAGCGGTGAATTAACTCCTGTCTTGTTCCCGGAAAGGGCTCCAGCCCTAGGGCCAGCGAGTTTAATCTGCGATACATAACAAGGTCGAGTACGGCCAGCGAACTAAAAATTGAGGATGTCCTGAGCGATACGCTTGTGTTGCAGAAATTGTTGAGGATGTCTCGAGCAAAACGCATGTTTGTGTTATAGATTGTTCTCTCCTGGGGACCAGAATTCAGAGGATCGCTCAAGTGAAATGCTTGTTTTCACGTGCCCAGGTCTTGAGGATGTCTCGAGCGAGACGCATGGCTTCATGCGTCCAGGTTGCCCAGACAGATGTCTAGCATGAGGACTTGTTGAGAACGTCTCGAGCGAGACGCTTGTGTTCACGCGTCCAGGTCGCCCAAGCGGATGTCTAGCATGAGGAGGCATTGAGGATGTCTCGAGCGAGACGCCTGCCCGCACGTGTCCAGGCTGCCCAGGCGGATGTCTAACATGAAGATGTGTTGAGAATGTCTCGAGAGAACCACTTGTTTTGACGTGCCCAGTTCGAGGCGGATGTTTAGCATGAGGATGCGTTGAGGATGTGTTGAGCGAGACGTTTGCTTTCACGTGTCCAGGTTGCCCAGGCGGATGTCTATTGAGAAAGTCTCGAGCGAAACGCTGGTTTTCACGTGCCCAGGTCACCAAGGCGGACGTCTACCATGAAGATGTGTTGAGGATGTCTCGAGCGAAACACTTGCTTTCACGTGTCCAGTTCGCCCAGGCGGATGTCTAGCATGAGGATGCGTTGAGGATGTCGTGAGCGAGACGCTTGTTTTCACGTGTCCAGGTCACCCACGCGGATTTCTAGCGTGAGGGTTTGGGCTGGATGTCTCGAGCGAAACGCTTGTCCCCAACACGTTCCGTAGCGCGTCCCCTTGGCGCGTCCCGAGGTGCGTCCCCATGGCGCGTCCCCTGTCACGTCGCCTGGCGCGTCCCTTGGGACGTTCCGCGGCGCGTCCTCCTGGCATGTCCCCCTGGCAATTAGCTCGGGGGCAGCTACTATGTGCTCAGGCAGCTCGAACTTAGGATCCAGATCAGTTCGGTCAGGACTCGGGTGTCAAGGAGGACTCGATCCACAACGCTGTAAAGCATAATCGCGGCATGGCGCATCGCAATTCAGCATGGCGCAGCACAGCACAGCCTTCGGCGCTGTACATCAAGATCGATACACTCAGCAGTGCATTTGCCCGTCGCCCAATCATGTGTCTTTGAAACGATGCCACGCCTTACATTTCTATAGATTCCTTTCCAGGTTCGTGGGTCGATCATGTTTTTCGGAAGGCGAACCCGGCGGCCAGGACCATCATTCGGAGCGACACTCGGGCCGTCGCGGGGCAAGATTCGGAGGAGGTGCGCGGCCGCCGAAAGCAGATGTCGGAGGTGGGATTCGGCCACACGGGGCGCCCTCAGGAGCCGCGCAGGAGCTCCTCCGGAGCATCCCAGGGACCTTTCAGGAGCCTCAGGGGCTCTCAGGAGCCTGTCGGCGAGCCCAGCAGGGCGGCTCGCAGGAGCTCCACGGTAGCCTCTCCGGAGCCTCTTCTGGGCCTCTCATGGGGGTCTCGGGAGCTGTTCAAGGGCTTCGCAAGGCGTTTTCATGGTATCCCCAGGGGCTTATCAGGGGCCCATGGGCACCTCTGCCGCACCTTCCTACAACCCTCTCAATCGCCTCTTCAAAAGCCTCAGAGGACTCTCCCTCTGAAACCTCTCAGGAGCTCCGCAGGAGCCTCCCAGGTACCTTTCATGAGCCTCTCAGGAGTTCGTTCTCAGGCCCCTCTTAGGATCCCCTCAGGATTCCCTTGCGAGTCTCTCGTCGCTGTCATCGTATTCGTCGTCGTCGTCGTGTTCGTTATCGTTGTCGTCATCGTCGTCGTCGTCCGTTTCGTGTCCGCGCAAGGGCGGTGATAATGCACCCCCCGTGACTGGTCCTTCAATGGCGAATACAAGTCTCGTCTTCCAGATTACATTCCCAAAGTAGGCTTGCCTAAGGGTCTCTTACTTGGTTGAAGGTAGGTGCCTACTAATGTTACGTTGCCCGTTGCTCTGAGGTCCCCCAGTGCCTCGTGTTCTTACGTTGCCCGTTCCTCGAAGATTTCCAGGGTTCTCCGGGCTCCCCGCCCCTGGTGCCCCAAGCAATGCCAAGCAATGCCAAGCAACGCCAAGCAATGTTAAGCAATGACAGGCAATGCCGAACGAGGCCAAGCAATGCAAAGCAATGCAAATCAATGCCAAACAATGCCAAGCAATGGCAAGCAACGCCAAGCAATGCCAAGCAATGCCAAGCAATGCCAAACAATGCCAAGCAATGGCAAGCAACGCCAAGCAATGCCAAGCAATGCCTAACAATGCCAGGTAATGCCAAGCAATGCCAACCAATGTCAAGCAAAGCCAAGCCTTTGCCAAGCCATGCCAAGCCCCGGGTTTCCCGGGTTCCCCGCACCCAGTGCCTCATGTCTGTTCCTCGGAGGTTCCCCGGGTTGCCCGCTCCCAGTGCCGCATGCCAAGCAATGCCAAGCAATACCAAGCAATGCCAAGCATGTCAAACCATACCAAGCAATGGCAAGCAATGGCAAGCAACGACAAGCAATGCCAAGCAACGCCGAGCAATGCCAAGCTATGCCAAGCAATGCCAGGCAATGCCAAGCAATACCAAATAATGCCAAGCAATGCCAGGTAATGCCAAGCAATGCCAAGCCATGCCGAGCCATGCCAAGCCATGCCAAGCCCCAGGTCCCCCGGGTTCCCCGCACCCAGTGCCTCATGCCCGTTCCTCGAAGGTTCCCCGAGTTCCCCGCCCCCGGTGCCTCATGCCAAGCAATGCCAGGCAATGCCAAACCATGCCAAGCAGTGGCAAGCAATGGCAAGCAATGGAAAGCAACGGCAAGCAATGGCAAGCAATAGCAAGCAATGGCAAGCAATGGCAAGCAATGGCAAGCAATGCCAAGCAATGGCAAGCAATTGCAAGCAATGCCAAACAATGCCAAACAATGCCAAACAATGCCAAGCAATGGCAAGCACTGCGCCCATGCAACAAGAAACTGTCCCTTAATTGGGGTCGCGCCGGGTTCATGAGGATACGTGGTTCACAGGAACCATTTGGGGGGCATTTCATCCAGAATGTCATTGTCTAGCTTCGCATCGTATTGTGTAGCAGTGGATGTTCATACCATTGCGTACAAATCGTACCCTGACCACCGCGCACCGCACCATGCATCGACAAAATGCTGCACCGCATTTGCCGCGCGTTGGCACCGATACTGCATTACTCCTCCCCCCTTTCCCCCCGATCTTGATCTTGACCTTGATTTGGGTCGCAAGGCGAAGAGTCCCCTCCCCCCACGAGCTCCCGACAGAACGTTGCACCACCGGGCTGCTTCGACCCGCCGGGACCAGGTCCACTATTTAGATTGGGAACAGGGGGGGAAACAAGCGACAGATACAAAAGCGATGCGCGTTGTTGTCCGTGCTAGGTGGTGCAACATTTTGCCGACGAACCGTATCCCTCCTCCTGCCCCCCTCCTCTCAACCTCCCTGCGTGTCCTGCTCCTTCTCCTCTTCATATTCGTCGTCGTCGTCCTCCTCCTCGTCCGCCTCCTCCTCCCCCCCTCCTCATCTCACCGTCCTCGTACTCAGAGGGCTAGAAGAGGGAGCGACACGGAGTGCCTGGTCCTCCAGCTGCGGGGGCGGCTGCTGCAACGTAGCCTTCCCACAAAGAATACGGTGAGCACGATGATGATGATGATGATGATGATGATGATGATGATGATGATGATTATGATGACGACGACGATGACGACGACGATGATGATGACGACGACGATGATGACGATGACGATGATGATGCTGTTAATGATGATGCTCTTAATGATAATGCTGATGATGATGCTGATGATGCTGATGGTGCTGACGACGACGAGGAGGAGGCATGACCCACAAGGCCGCAGCGTATTTGAGCCAGGGAAGAGGAGAGGAGGCGGGCGCACGAGGCCCTCTCTGAAGAAGAAGAAGACGTAGAAGAAGAAGAAGAAGAAGAAGTGCAGACAGCCGAAAGAACACAAACAGGATTTCTTATGAGCAAATCACTGGGACCTCTGGTAACCACCGCATACCGGCGAGGCCATCACTGCTGTCCATCGCTCGACAGGGAGCACTAGGCAGAGGCCACTGCTTGACACACTCTTCATGATGCCGCCACGGGGGGGGGCGTATCGGCCAAGCGAGGGACATGGGGGCCACGGGTGTCGCGGACACTTCGCGCATGTACCAAGACCCCCGAAGGGGAGGTTTCCAATTTGAGGCTCGCGCCCATGACCTCGATGACCTTGCCAGCATGACCAATGTACTCCGCTTCTGTGACCGGAGCGGACCGTCCAAAACAAGCCACCACATTGCCCAGAATAGCGCTCGCGCAAGTCCACCAAGGAAAGTTCGCAAGCTACCAGTCGAGCTCCTGCCGTCAGCTGGCCAGTGAACTTCTTTGGCGCAACGCCCATCAACACGACGGTCCGCACGACCACCGTCCGCAGTAAGAAGCTCGGAGAGCTCATGAACTCGGGGACGGGCCACCGCGAAGATTTCCATGCTCAGCTTCCTCGCGAAGATCTGCATGATCAGCTTCCTCCCCCAAACCCACGCGATCAGCTTCGTCATGAAGATCTGAACACTAACAGACATCTGCGTGACCAGCTACCTCCCGAGGATGGGCAGCTGCGCGAAGATATGCGTGACCAGCACACTCACGAAGATCTGCATGCCCACCTTCCTGACGAGGATCTGCATATCCAACTCTCTCCTGACGATCTGCATATCCACGATCTCTGTATGACCAGAATTCAAAGGAAACGTAGCATCGTCACGAACCTCTGCATGCCCAGCGGCGGCAGGAAGGTCGCACCAAGCGGCTGCAAGGTCATCTGCGCGCCCGCATCTCTCAGGAAGGCTGGCACATCAGACGATCCACTATGCCACGTTATGTCTGGCCAGGCGTCTCCACAATATCACTTGATGCATGGCTCGTGGCCGCGAGCTCGGAGGTATCACGTACCACCTCAGGAACTACAGCCGAGACATCGCTCGCAGTGCCACTGACCTGCAACCCAAGGGCAGATGTCCAAGCGAAAAGCCAAACCAGAATCAGCATGAAGCTGTGCAAGAAAATCAGAAGCGTCAGGGCGAAACTGAAATTTCGTGCGGCACAGTCGCACGTTGTCGGTGCCTGGCAGCAGTGGCCGCAGCACAGATGCCGTACATGATGGAAACGGACTGGCGGACAGCTACATGTGCTGACCAGCCCATCGGATCATGGCATTGAGCGTCCTCCAGGGGAGAACCCGATGAAGACACTATCATGCACGCTGGAGATCAACTTCTCGGCGAATGGCCTGCGTACGCGACACCCGACGGGCACGCCGTATCCACCACACGCCGTGTATCACGAAGTCAATGGACAAATTAGCGTGCGCATCGCTCAATGTGGGTGTAGTCTCGGCGGATAGCTTGATCCCCCGCCCGAGTATCCTCAAGGTGGCAATCGTGAAATTGAGCGACGTCACTTCGGAATGCCATCAGAACACAGAAACAGAAACTCCTAGTCGACACGTGAAAGCACAAGCATGCATACCGAGGGCCCTGTCCGTGCTGGCCGTTTGAATAACACGCATCAAATTTGAATGGAGTGTACACAGAAGGACCAGATGTAGTGTACAGAAATGGGCCACTGAGGTGACTTGAGCCAGACTGGCTACGGATGATGAGGAGAAGGCGGAGGAGAACGACGGAAGGGCATGGGAGGGGAGGGGAAGCGAGGGATGGCAGGCGAGGAGGGAGAAGGGGAGAGAGGATAAGAGAGGATTTGTTCCCGGAAAGGGCGTGGGCCCAGGGATCTCTTTCAGTTTATAAACTGTCCTCCGTGCCATGTTGGGGAAGGGCCGGCGGAATTATTCCCTGATAAATATCGAAGTCGGGGAGGGCTGGCGGAATTGTTTTTGAGGATATATCAGGCGAAACGCTTGTTTTCGAAATCACGATCGATAATTTACAAGGTGCGGGCCACTTTTTCGTTCGTCGTGGATGTCTCGAGCGAAACGCTTGTTCCGCAGAGTTTGCCAAGGATGTCTGTAGCGAAACGCTTGTTTTACCTGTCCAGGTCAGGCCCCAGGATGACACAGAAGGGCCCTCTCCAGGAGTGCGAATCCGTCGACACAGCACAGCACAGCACGCCACACCATCGATATCTTCTTCACTGCTACTGCCCATCACCCAATGCAGGTGCCTTAATGTGCCCCTGGTTCGCCACGTTTCTGTCCGTCCATTGTCGGTGCGTTTCGTCTCGTTTTGGAATTGAACTGGATTTTGAGCTCAAGTTGGTTGAGTGTCTTGTGAGTTTTGATTGGGGCCAGCTCTGGCCACAAGTTAAGGCAGCTCGAGTTTAAGATCCATGTCACTTCGGCCAGGAGTCGGATGCCAAGGACGACTTGGTCCACAACGCAATAATGCACAGCACATGTCAACGCAGCATGACACAATCCAAGTCGGCACAGCACGGCACAGCACAGCCCCTGGCACAATACATCGCCATCGACACCTTCAGCAATGCAAATGCCTGTCGCCCAATTCGGTGTCGTGAAAACGTTTCCATGGTTCACATGTCTATATTCTTTTCCGGGTTCGTGGGTCGATCATGTTCCTGGAACGGGCTTAAGCCCAGGGTTCTCTTTTAGTTGGTTTACCCCCAATTTTGACGGCTGTAGGGCCGGCAAATTTCTTTTGCGATAAAAAACAAAGTGGCGTAGGGCCGGACGCTTGTTTTTCAGAAACTGTTGAGGATGCCTCGAGCGAAACGCTGGTTTTGCAGAGTTGGGGGATGTCTCGAGCGGGGGCCTCGTGGGGGGCCAAAATTCAAAGGATGTCTCAGGCGATATGATTGTTTTTACGTGCCCAGGTCGGTCAGGGGGTATTCAACGTGGTTGTCCGTCGCTGGCGCCCCAGATGTCTCGAGCGAAACGCTGGTTTTGCAGAGTTGGGGGATGTCTCGAGCGGGGGCCTCGTGGGGGGCCAGAATTCAAAGGGTGTTTCAGGCGAAATGCTTGTTTTCACGTGCCCAAGTCGCCCAGAGGGTGTATCTAACATGGTGGCCCCGCGCTGGAACCGCATGTTTTCACGTGTCCACGCCACCCAGGGGAGTATCTAACATGGTGGTCCTGAGCTGGAACCGCGTGCTTTTACGTGTCCAAGCCACCCATGAGGTATCTAACATGGTGGTCCCGAGCTGGAACCATGTGTTTTCACGTATCCAGGCCACCCAGGGGGTATCTAACATGGTGGTCCCGCGCTGGAACCACGTGTTTTCACGTGTGCAGGCCACCCAGGTGGGTATCTAATCTAACATGGGCCTCCTGGATCCTTCCTGGGACTCGGAACGGAACGTCGAGAGTTTATTCCCTACCTAGGCTCTGCCCAGAAGGGTTCTTACTCTGTTAGCTAAAGGGGCCGGGCAGTGCAACACGCCCCGGGTGGTTCCCCCAGTCCCCGCCCCGCGGTTCCCCCAGTTGCGCCCCCTGGGTTCACCCAGCTTAGCTTAGCTTATCTTATCTCATCTTAGCTTAGCTTAGCTTTGTCTAGCCTAGCTTGGTTTAACTTAGCTTAGCTTAGCTTAGCTTAGCTTAGCTTAGCTTATATCATCTTAGCTTAGCTTAGCTTAGCTTGGCTTGGCTTGGTTTAGCTTAGCTTAGCCTAGCTTAGCTCAGCTTAGCTTAGCATAGCTTCGCTTACCTTAGCTTAGCGCAGCGCAGCATAGCGCAGCGCAGCATTAGCACAGCATAGCATAGCATACCATGACCAAGCATAGCATAGCATAGCATAGCATAGCATAGCATAGCATAGCATAGCTCAGAATAACAAAACATATCGTAGCATAGCATAGCATAGCACAGCACAACATAGCATAACATAACAATGCTTAGCATAGCACGGCATAGCATAGCATAGCATAGCGCAGCATAGCGCGACATAGCATATCAGAGCAGAGCAGAGCAGAGCATAGCACATCATAGCGCAGCATAGCATAGCATAGCATAGCATAGCCTAGCCTAGCCTAGCATAGCATAGCGCAGCATAGCATAGCATAGCATAGCGCAGCATAGCTTATCGTAGCATAGCGCAGCATAGCATAGCATAGCATAGCCTGCTATGCTAGCATAGCCTCCTATGCTCCTAGGAAAGTGCATATGTAGATGTAGGTGTAGATGTGGATGTAGGTGTAGATGTAGATGTATATGTAGATGTAGATGTAGGTGTAGATGTAGATTTAGATGTAGATGTGAGTCTCGCTGTTGATGTAGATGTAGATGTAGATGCAGTTGTAGATGTAAATGTAGCTGTCGGTGTAGATGTAGATGTTGCTTTCCTAAATGCTCCAACTCCTAGGTAGGGTCGCACTGGGATAATTTGTATGTGGTATCGATTCGTTGACTTGTTGGCCTCCAGGCGCCTCTGGGCATTCCTGGGCCCTCCTGCGCTCCAGACGACCGCATGTTAGATATCCCCCCCCTGGGTGGGCTGGACCACGTGTTTTTACGTGTGCAGGCCACACAGGGGGGTATATAACATGGTGGTCCCGAGCTGGAGCCATATGTCTTTACATGTCCAGGCCACCCAGGGGGGTATCTAATATGGTTTTCCCGAGCTTGAACCACGTGTTTTATGTATCCAGGCAACCCAGGGGGCATCTAATATGATTGTTCTGAGCAAGGGCCGAGTGGTTTAACGTGTCCAGGCTATTCAAGGGTGTATCTAGCATGATTTCCCGAGCTGGCACCATGTGTTTTCACGTGTCCGGGCCATCCAGGGGGATATCTAACATGGCGATCCCGAACACGGACCACGCGCTTTAACGTTCCGTAGCGCGTCCCCTCGGCACGTCCCGCGGTGCGTCTCCGTGGCACGTCCCCTGGCACGTCGCCTGGCGCGTCCCTTGGGACGTTCCGCGGCTCGGCCTCCTGGCAGGTTACCCTGGCAATTCGCTCTGGGGCAGCTACTATGTGCTGAGGCAGCTCGAGCTGAAGATCCAGATCAATTCGGTCAGGACTCGGATGCAAAGGAGGACTCGATCCACAACGCTATAGAGCACAATCGCGGCACGGCACATCGCAATTCAGCACGGCGCAGCACCGCACAGCCCTCGGCACGGTACATCAAGATAGATACACTCAGCATTGCAACCTGGCACGTTCCTTGGCACTTTCCTTGGCGCGTCCCGTGGCGAGTCCCCCTGGCACGTCGCGCGGCGCGTCCCCTGGCACGTCCCGTGGCACGTCCATTGGCACGTTCCGTAGCGCGTCCCCTCGGCACGTCCCGCGGTGCGTCTCCGTGGCACGTCCCCTGGCACGTCGCCTGGCGCGTCCCTTGGGACGTTCCGCGGCTCGGCCTCCTGGCAGGTTACCCTGGAAATTAGCTCTGGGGCAGCTACTATGTGCTGAGGCAGCTCGAGCTGAAGATCCAGATCAGTTCGGTCAGGACTCGGATGCAAAGGAGGACTCGATCCACAACGCTATAGAGCACAATCGCGGCATAGCACATCGCAATTCAGCACGGCGCAGCACAGCACAGCCCTCGGCAAGGTACATCAAGATCGATACACTCAACATTGCGTTTGCCCGTCGCCCAATCAGGTGTCTTTGAAACGTTGCCATGCCTTACATTTCTATCTTTTCCGGGTTCGTGGGTCGATCATGTTTTTGACTGCGGACACTTCTGGGAGAGGATGGAGGGAAAGGAAGGGGACGACGGGCCACGCCACCAGTGAACATTCGCATTCCTGGGCGAAAAGCGCCATCTCAATCCAGCTGCTGTCCAGAGTCAACCAACTCTCGCTCGAAAGTGGCAACCTCAGACAACTTGGAGACAACTCGAGAGGACTGAGAGAGGAGATGGGAAGTGGCCGGACAACTGCCAACTGATGGAAGCTGGAGCACGGCGACGGAATGCAGCACTATGTCCACGGGACACATGTCGGCAGTGCCCTTTCTGGGCGACCTCTCTCACGGGCGCAGGGCTCGCAAGGAAGGGTTTCCGGTGGCGCTCGGTCGGTTGAACTCCCAAAGATGTTGAAAATCAGCATACATGCTGGTCGGAGTGAGACATCGTCGTGAGCACAAGATCAGTCAACATCTAATTGGGAAATCATGTGGAATCGGAGCGTAAACCAGATCGGGTCACATCGGCACGGAGTCGGAATCAAATAGCATCGGCCGCGCCGCCGGGATGCACAACAGCGCCGTGCAAGCACCGGGCCGCATCGGATCATCATCGTGACGGAATCGTCGGATCGAGCCGGCCAGATTCGGTATCGAATCGGACCGATCGGATCTGAAATATTACCCTGGAGGGCAGGGAGGGCGAGCGGGGCAGGGGCAGGCGGACTTCCTCGGGTTTCTCTTCTTTGGGCCGCCGACGTGGCCCCTGCTGGTCGGAGAGATGGGGGATCGTCGGGAGGGCAGGGGAGGCGAGAGGAGGAGGAGGAGGAGGAGGAGGCGAGAGGAGGAGGAGGAGGAGGAGGAGGAGGAGGAGGAGGAGGAGGAGGTGGACCGTGCCTCGAGGAGGAGGCGGAGGAGGAGGCGGAGGAGGCGGAGGAGGAGGAGGAGGAGGGCGGGGCACGCCGCCTCGGCCAGGGCGCGCTGCCACTCCTGGCCCTCCAGCTGCTGCTGCTGCTGCCGCAGGAGCACGGCCGCGGCCTCGGGCCGCACGCGGAGGCGCGGAGGGGGGCGTCTGTTCGGCCGCGGTGGGGAGGCAGAGGACGGAGAGACGGATGAGGCTGCCGCCGTTCCCGCACAGGGGCGCGGCCCCTCGCAAGAGCGGGCGAAGAGGGGCTGTGAACCCGAGAGGCTCGGAACTGCTTCCGCATGCTGCTGCCCCTTCTTTCCCTCCCCCCGCAATCCCTCCCCCCCTCCTCCCTCTGCCCTTGTCTCCCCCTTTTCCCGGAAAATGCGTGGGCCCAGGGTTCTCTTTTAGGAGGTTACCTCCAGAATCGACGGGCGTAGGGCCGGCGGAATTATTTGCTATGAATAACGAGGTCGCGTTGGGCTGGCGGAATTGAATTTTGAGGATGTCCCTAGCAAAACGCTGGTGTTGCATAATTTGTTGAAGATGTCTCGAGCGAAACGTTTGTTTGGTGCTATAGATCGTTCCTCTCCTGGGGACCAGAACTCAGAGGACGACTCAAGTGAAACGCTTGTTTCCACATGCCCAGGTCTTGAGGATGTCTTGAGCGAGACGCTTGGTTTCACGCCTCCATGTTGCCCAGGTAGATGTCTAGCATCAGGATTTGTTGAGGATGTCTTCAGCAAGACGCTTGTTTTCACGCCTCCAGGTCGTCCAGGCAGATGTCCTGCATGAGGATTAGTTGAGGAGGTCTCGAGAGAGAGACGCTTGTTTTCGCGTGTCCAGGTCGCCCAGGCGGATGTCTAGCATGAGGATGTGTCGAGGATGTGATGAGCGAAACCCTTGTTTGCACGTGTCCAGGTCGCCCAGGAGGATGCCTACCATGAAGATGCTCGGAGGATATCTCGAGCGAACCGCTTGTTTTCGCGTGTCCAGGTCGCCCAGGCGGATGTCTATCAGGAGGATGTGTTGAGGATATGTTGACCAAAGCGCTTGTTTTCACGTGTCCAGGTCGCCCAGGCGGATGGCTAACGTGAAGATTTGTCGAGGACGTCTCTCTCGAGAGAGACGATTGGTTTCACGTGTCCAGGTCGCCCAGGCGGATGTCAAGCATGAGGATTTGTTGAGGATGCGTTGACCGAAACGCTTATTTTCACGTGCCCATGTCGCCCAGGCGGATGTCTAGCATGAGGATGTGAACAGGTCTCGAGCGAACCGCTTGTTTTCGCGTGTCCAGGTCGCCCAGGCGGATGTCTAACGTGAAGATGTGTTAAGGATGCCGAGAGAGAGAGAGAGAGACGATTGGTTTCACGTGTCCAGGTCGCCCAGGCGGATGTCTAGCATGACGATGTGTTGAGGATGCGTTGACCGAAACGCTTGTTTTCACGTGCCCATGTCGCCCGGGCGGACGTCTAGCATGAAGATGCTCGGAGGATATCTCTCCAGAGAGACGCTTGGTTTCATGTGTCCAGGTCGCCCAGGTGGATGTCTAGCATGAGGATGTGAACAGGTCTCGAGCGAACCGCTTGTTTTCGCGTGTCCAGGTCGCCCAGGCGGATGTCTAACGTGAAGATGTGTTAAGGATGCCGAGAGAGAGAGAGAGAGAGAGACGATTGGTTTCACGTGTCCAGGTCGCCCAGGCGGATGTCTAGCATGAGGATTTGTTGAGGATGCGTTGACCGAAACGCTTATTTTCACGTGCCCATGTCGCCCAGGCGGATGTCTAGCATGAAGATGCTCGGAGGACATCTCTCCAGAGAGACGCTTGTTTTCGCGTGTCCAGGTCGCCCAGGCGGATGTCTAGCATGAGGATGTGTTGAACTGGTCTCGAGCGAAACGCTTGTTTTCTCGTGCCCAGGTCATCCAGGCGGATGTCTAACTTGAAGATGTGTTAAGGATGCCTTGAGAGAGACCCTTGGTTTCACGTGTCTGGGTCGCTCAGGCGGATGTCTAGCATGAGGATTTGTTGAGGATGCGTCCACCGAAACGCTTGTTTTCACGTGCCCAGGTCTCCCGAGCGGGTGTCTAGCATGAAGATGTTCGGAGGATGTCTCAAGCGAGCCGCTTGTTTTCGCGTGTCCAGGTCGCCCAAGCGGATGTCTAGCATGACGATGTGTTCAGGATGTAGTTAGCGAAACGCTTGGTTTCACGTGTCCAGGTCGCTCAAGCAAATGTCTAGCATGAGGAGGTATTGAGAACGTCTCGAGCGAGACGCTTGTTTTTTTTTTGCGCCGAGTCGGCTGGGCTGGCGTCCCAAGGCCTGTTCCCCTGCACGAGCGCGCAAGTCGCTCTGTCGCGCGAGTCGCTCGGTCGCTGGCGTTGCCGCTGGCTGTGCAGAAAGCGGCTGGATCCATCACCGCCGCGATGGTACCAAGGAGGAGGAGGAGGAGGAGGAGGAGGAGGAGAATTACTAGGGAGCTCCTGTAAGGGAAAACTGCGCGCACTAGCCCGGAGGCTGTGCTCCCGCCCGCGGAGCAGGCGGCAGTGAGCCCGCGCTCACTCCAGCAAAAGCCGAGGCCGCACAGTCGGGCACCTAAGCTTCCGTAGAAAAATCGCAGGTGGCTTCGGACAGGGTCGGATTGCTCGCACGAGTCCGGCGTCGGCGTCGTGGCCGTTTTGCTTCTTTCGAGACGCTTGGTTTTATGTGTCCAGGTCGCCCAGGCGGATATCTAACGTGAAGATGTGTCGAGGACGTCTCGAGAGAGAGACGCTTGTTTTCACGCGTCCAGGTCGCCCAGGCGGATGTCTGGCATGAGGATGTGTTGGGAAGGTCTCAGGCGAAACACTTGTTTTCACGAGCCCAGGTCGCCCAGGCGGATGTCTGACGTGAGGATGTGTTGAGGAAGTCTCGAGCAAAACGCTTGGTTTCACGTGTCCAGGTCGCCCAGGCGGATGTCTAGCATTAGAATGTGTTGAGGATGCGTTGACCGAAACGCTTGTTTTCACGTGCCCAGGTCTCCCGAGCGGGTGTCTCACATGAAGACGTTCGGAGGATGTCTCGAGCGAGCCGGTCGTTTTCGTGTGTTCAGGTCGCCCAAGCGGATGTCTAGCATGACGATGTGTTGAGGATGTGTTTAGCGAAACGCTTGGCTTCACGTGTCCAGGTCGCTCAGGCAGATGTCTAGCATGAGGAGGTGTTGAGAACGTCTCGAGCGAGACGCTTGGCTTCACGTATCCAGGTCGCCCAGGCGGATGTCAAGCATGAGGATTTGTTGAGGATGCGTTGACCGAAACGCGTATTTTCACGTGCCCATGTCGCCCAGGCGGATGTCTAGCATGAGGATGTGAACAGGTCTCGAGCGAACCGCTTGTTTCCGCGTGTCCAGGTCGCCCAGGCGGATGTCTAACGTGAAGATGTGTTAAGGATGCCGAGAGAGAGAGAGAGAGAGACGATTGGTTTCACGTGTCCAGGTCGCCCAGGCGGATGTCTAGCATGACGATGTGTTGAGGATGCGTTGACCGAAACGCTTGTTTTCACGTGCCCATGTCGCCCGGGCGGACGTCTAGCATGAAGATGCTCGGAGGATATCTCTCCAGAGAGACGCTTGGTTTCATGTGTCCAGGTCGCCCAGGTGGATGTCTAGCATGAGGATGTGAACAGGTCTCGAGCGAACCGCTTGTTTTCGCGTGTCCAGGTCGCCCAGGCGGATGTCTAACGTGAAGATGTGTTAAGGATGCCGAGAGAGAGAGAGAGAGAGAGACGATTGGTTTCACGTGTCCAGGTCGCCCAGGCGGATGTCTAGCATGAGGATTTGTTGAGGATGCGTTGACCGAAACGCTTATTTTCACGTGCCCATGTCGCCCAGGCGGATGTCTAGCATGAAGATGCTCGGAGGACATCTCTCCAGAGAGACGCTTGTTTTCGCGTGTCCAGGTCGCCCAGGCGGATGTCTAGCATGAGGATGTGTTGAACTGGTCTCGAGCGAAACGCTTGTTTTCTCGTGCCCAGGTCATCCAGGCGGATGTCTAACTTGAAGATGTGTTAAGGATGCCTTGAGAGAGACCCTTGGTTTCACGTGTCTGGGTCGCTCAGGCGGATGTCTAGCATGAGGATTTGTTGAGGATGCGTCCACCGAAACGCTTGTTTTCACGTGCCCAGGTCTCCCGAGCGGGTGTCTAGCATGAAGATGTTCGGAGGATGTCTCAAGCGAGCCGCTTGTTTTCGCGTGTCCAGGTCGCCCAAGCGGATGTCTAGCATGACGATGTGTTCAGGATGTAGTTAGCGAAACGCTTGGTTTCACGTGTCCAGGTCGCTCAAGCAAATGTCTAGCATGAGGAGGTATTGAGAACGTCTCGAGCGAGACGCTTGTTTTTTTTTTGCGCCGAGTCGGCTGGGCTGGCGTCCCAAGGCCTGTTCCCCTGCACGAGCGCGCAAGTCGCTCTGTCGCGCGAGTCGCTCGGTCGCTGGCGTTGCCGCTGGCTGTGCAGAAAGCGGCTGGATCCATCACCGCCGCGATGGTACCAAGGAGGAGGAGGAGGAGGAGGAGAATTACTAGGGAGCTCCTGTAGGGAAAACTGCGCGCACTAGCCTGGAGGCTGTGCTCCCGCCCGCGGAGCAGGCGGCAGTGAGCCCGCGCTCACTCCAGCAAAAGCCGAGGCCGCACAGTCGGGCACCTAAGCTTCCGTAGAAAAATCGCAGGTGGCTTCGGACAGGGTCGGATTGCTCGCACGAGTCCGGCGTCGGCGTCGTGGCCGTTTTGCTTCTTTCGAGACGCTTGGTTTTATGTGTCCAGGTCGCCCAGGCGGATATCTAACGTGAAGATGTGTCGAGGACGTCTCGAGAGAGAGAGACGCTTGTTTTCACGCGTCCAGGTCGCCCAGGCGGATGTCTGGCATGAGGATGTGTTGGGAAGGTCTCAGGCGAAACACTTGTTTTCACGAGCCCAGGTCGCCCAGGCGGATGTCTGACGTGAGGATGTGTTGAGGAAGTCTCGAGCAAAACGCTTGGTTTCACGTGTCCAGGTCGCCCAGGCGGATGTCTAGCATTAGAATGTGTTGAGGATGCGTTGACCGAAACGCTTGTTTTCACGTGCCCAGGTCTCCCGAGCGGGTGTCTCACATGAAGACGTTCGGA